CTGATCTCATGTGTTATTCATTTATTCTCGAATCCGATAATCCATTCATTTCGTTTTTACTTTTATTTTCTTGCATTTTCAATGATACTATTTTTCTTGAAACCGATTTATTAATATTTAATTTTATTTATTCTTTTTATTTGTTCGTTTTTTGTTTTATTTGTTTATTTTATTAAGGTGTCACTCCATTGACTAGTTTGTTACTATACAAGTGAGACCGAATATAGTTTTATAAAATTAAAAATGATATATATATATATATATTCATAAATATATATATATATATATATATATATATATATATATATATATATATATATATATATATATATATATATATATATCATACATATATATATATATATATATATATATATATATATATATATATATATATATATATATATATATATATATATATATATATATATATATATATATATATATGTATATATATACATATATTTATATATATGCATATATATATATATATATATATATATATATATATATATATATATATATATATTACGAAATGATTGAATTTAATATGAGCCATAAGGTATATAAAGAACCTTTTTGTATTCTAAGTTCAGTTATTCAATTTAAATAATTAATTATAAAATAGTTATATATTCATCTATAGATTTAAAACTTTATGATTATATTATTCAGCGATCCGTTTTTAGCCTCATCAAAATAAAGGTGGTTTAATATTTACATGATCATAAAAACCGAACACTAAACGATTTGATGAAATTTAAAATCTATAGATAAATACAGAACTAGTTTATAATTATAAAAAATGAATAGCTCGACTCATTGCTCTCATGATTGGGGTAGGAGGGAGGGCTAAGATTGTAAGGTTTTGGTATTCCCAGTCTCCTTTTACTGTAATTTTTTTGTGAAGAATCTATATTCGTCTTAAAGAACAGAACAGTAATAAATTAGTAAAAAAAAAATTATAAGCATTATTAGTGTGTATGGTGTTATGTGGAAATGTTACTTTGATTTATATAAATACACTCCTTAAACAACATTCTAATTTTGTGTTGTTCTTTATAATAAAGATTTAATTTTTCTAAAGATGAGACCAAAATTTACTTTCCTAATCTTTTGAGTACGAATACTTTTATAAAAAAAAAATGTAAAAAAAAAAATATTTCGAAAATCTAATTTTTAATAAATTTGTCTTTTAATCAATATTTGTAGAGAATCCGTCTATAAATATCGAAGAATCCCAGCATCCGTTAGTTATTGGGGCAGAATGTGAATGCATTTTTAAAGTGATTTAATTTATTGATGCAATGAATGCAAACATGTTCAGTGGCGGATTATCCATTAGGCAAACTAGGCAGTTGCCTTAGGCCCGCTTAAAATAAAGGCCTGTAATTTCGGATTTTGTAAGGGCGAATTCAAGAAAAACAGATCCGAAATGCCCAACTCCTCAACTGGTTATGTTATTCTTTCTTATAACGATGACTCTTAAGTTTTTTGTTAGAATCGAAAAACATGTTATTTTGGCCTAATCAAGTTTACTGTAAAATAAAATGGATAACTGTAATAAAAAAAAAACTTGATTTATGCTGTTATAACACTTTCTTTTTGTTTTTTCTGACTAAAAAGGAAAGGAAAATATATTAGCTTTAGCTTTATTAAGAAATCGAAAAACTTTTAGAGGAGAATCGAAATGATCCTTTTGCGTCCTAATGTAAAAAGCTCAATTTCGAGCCCATTGTATTGTTATAAAAGTTTCTATTAAACAAAACCAATCAAAATGTAATTAAAAACTTTCAACGCGCTCAAATAAAAAATGGATATTGATACGCTTACTAAAAATGAGATAAAAGTAGAAACTCTAGAAAATTTTTTGGAAATGTCAAAAGGAGAGCTGCAGTTGTATCTTAAACAGCGTGGTTTTACAATTTCCGGCAATCATAGCTCCTTAGCTGCGACAGCTTTAATGGCATGTGAGCAAAAAATTAAAGTGGTACCAAGTACTGAAAATGCTTGAAATAAATTAAATAGTGACTACGCAAATCTACTGAAATCGTTTAAAATAGATTTCGACCCGTTGAAAGCAAATGATTTTATAGACGATATGCGACAATGGCCTATTACAAATATTGGACAAATATTTGCTTTTATCATCAAAAGCAAAGCATTTGAAACTGAATACATTGGTCAGTACAAACTTAAAAAAGCATATTCATACTTTGGAAGTGGTTTTGTTGGCAAGTTGTTTAGCAAAAAAATGAACGATTATATTATGATACGTTCATCGGTCTCTCCTTCTCAACATATACGAGAAAAATCCCATCAACTTTGGATTTTGTTTAATGTGGATGGCAGCATTTGCACCGCGTTTTGCACGTGTACCACAGGACAAAGTAATTGTTGTAATCACGTTGCTGCGGTACTTTATAAAATAGAATATGCGAACACTAAAGACATAACGAACCCTATTTGTACTGATAATATTTGCAGCTGGAACGCTCCGTCCAAAGAAATTCAACCAAGTATGGTGAAAGATATGAACTTTGTTAAACATAAAAGTGGTAAATTGCAGAAAAATTTTTTGATTTACAAAGAAAAAAATGATTTTGATCCTAGACCAGTAGAAATGCGCGAAATTACGGAAGTTGAAAAAAAACAATTTTTATTAAATATCAAGGAAGTTCTTCCTAACGCCGCTCTAAATATAATGTTTACCCCTCCGCCAAATAATGATGTGCCACTTCCAATAACAGAAATTGCTTCAGCAGCACGTAGTTGTTTCCCAACGGAGCTAAGCTGTGTGACTGATAGATTTCTTGGTATGCTGACATTTAACGACAATCAACTTCAAGAATTAGAAAAAGCTACAAGAAATCAATCACACTCAAACCAATGGTGGGAACAACGCAGAGGAAGAATAACATCATCATGTTTCTATTCCATTCACCAAATGGTTACATCTCTTCTGAGAAGCCATGATAAAGACGTTAAATGCAAAGTTGCGCCACTTCTTAAGGCTATTGTCGACCCTGTTGAATTAAAGAATGTTGCACCTCTAAATTGGGGTAAAGAAAACGAAAAAAATGCTGCTAAAATATTTATGTCAACTGAGGGGGTAAGACATCAAAATCCTAAGCTAATAACGTGTGGTTTATTCGTGCACAAACCGCACCCGTATCTTGGTGCTTCTCCGGACAACATATTTCAATGCCGTTGTTGCCTAAAATCTTGTGTAGAGTACAAATGTCCTTTTAGTATTCGGGACGAAGATATAAGCGTTTCATGGAAAAAAACGGATTTTTTGGAAATGGTTGACGGGAAAGTAGTGCTTAAAAGAAATCACAAATATTACACCCAAATAATCGGCCAAATGGCAATCACTGGTTACAAATCCACGTACTTCGTAGTCTATACAAAAAAATAAGTTTTAGTAAATAAAATCACGTTCGATGAAGAACATTGGCAAAAAGTGCTTCCAAGCTTAATTCTGTTTTTTAAAACGTATGTGCAACGTTACCTACTTGGATTTATGCAACTGTATACATGCCCATTGTGCGATAAGCCATGCTTAAATGAAAATGAATTTAAAAAGAAAAAGAAGATAACAGCATTGATTGTGACATTTGTGGTCTCTGGTATCATTGGGATTGTTGTGGACTAGTTCAAATAACTGTTTTAAAAGATAGATTTATTTGCATTTTTTGCCAATAACTGATAAATCACAACATTGATTTATAGACATTACAGATATTAAATGTATTAAATTAAGCATTAATTTCAGAAAATAATCTTTTTACTAATCATTTGTTTTAATTCATAAAAGTATTAAAGCGAAAAACTATTGACTCAAAAGATATTAAAAGGTTTATAATGACGTGTATTTACTGCTAAATTATTTAAATTTATTATAAAAAACAAGAAAAAATGAGGTCTATATTTAGTTTTAGTAGTGTAATTATATAAGAAATAAAAATTCAGAAACAATATAAAAAAAAGCAATATGTACAAAAAAAATTAGTATCTTTATATATATATATATATATATATATATATATATATATATATATATATATATATATATATATATATATATATATCTTATACATATATATACATATATATATATACTACATATATATACATATATACATATATACATATATATATATATATATATATATATATATATATATATATATATATATATATATATATATATATATATATATATATATATATATATATATATATATATATATATATATATATATATATATATATATATATATATATATATATATATATATATATATATATATATATATATATATATATATATATATATATATATATATATATATATATATATATATATATATATATATATATATATATTTTTTTATACATATATATATATATATATATATATATATATAGCAATATATATGTATATATGTATATATATATATATATATATATATATATATATATATATATATATATATATATATATATATATATATATATATATATATATATATCTATATATATATATATATTAAAACACACGCACACACACTAAATGTATATATATATAAATGACTTTTATCAATTTAACTAGAGATTCTGATGTTCAGTTTATACAGGCCTAGCTAATTCAAATGCATATATATATACATATATAAATATATATATATATATATATATATATATATATATATATATATATATATATATATATATATATATATATATATGTATATATGCATATATATGTATATGCATATATATATATATATATATATATATATATATATATATATATATATATATATATATATATATTTATATAAATATATATATATATATATATATATACATATATATATATATATATATATATATATATATATATATATATATATATATATATATATATATATATATATATATATATATATATATATATATATATATATATATATATAAAGTAAATCTTATGCTTAGTTTTCATCAATGCAAAGGTGGGGCATGAAGTTTGTTAATACAGCGCATACAGTAATAATATTGTCACATAATGGTAACAGTGTGACTGGCAATTCATTTTTTAATATGCGAAAGTTTTTCATACGCCCTATGGCTTATATATGGCTATATATACATATATACATATATATATACATATACATATATATATATATATATATATATATATATATATATATATATATATATATATATATATATATATATATGCATGTATATATATATATATATATATATATATATATCAAAACACACGCACACACACTGAATGTATATATATATAAATGACTTTTATCAATTTAACTAGAGATTCTGATGTTCAGTTTATACAGGCCTAGCTAATTCAAATGCATATATATATATATATATATATATATATATATATATATATATATATATATATATATATATATATATATATATGCATATATATGTATATGCATATATATATATATATATATATATATATATATATATATATATATATATATATATATATATATATATATATTTATATATATATATATATACATATATATATATATATATATATATATATATATATATATATATATATATATATATATATATATATATATATATATATATATATATATATATATATATATATATATATATATATATATATATATATAAAGTAAATCTTATGCTTAGTTTTCATTAATGCAAAGGTGGGGCATGAAGTTTGTTAATACAGCGCATACAGTGATAATATTGTCACATAATGGTAACAGTGTGACTGGCAATTCATTTTTTAATATGCGAAAGTTTTTCATACGCCCTATGGCTTGTTCCACATAAATTCGAACATTTGCAATTTTTGAGGTTTCTCGCACATCATTAGATGTCATTTGCAAATTTGTGCGTTTTGATGGAGGAATAGCTAAAAAACCTCTATCTGCTATAACTTGATCTCCAGGCTGTAAGAATTTTAAAATTCCACAATCTTTAACAATGAAAACGTCGCTAGCTCTTCCGCCATAACAATTTGATAAAAAAAAAATTGCACCATTTGGTGTTATTCCAACCAAATATTTAACAGTATAATGATGTTTATAATTTGAACAACAACTTGCAGCAGTATCCAAACTTGATGGTGTTTCGATAAAAAGCTCACTACAATCAATTATTATTGAGCATTTTGGGTAGTATTTCCTGAACATTGTTGGTAAATTTCTCTTTATATTATTTCTGTCAGGAAAATGTATTAGCCATTTTAATTCAAGAGAAAGAAGTTTTATCCAAACTTGGATATCGTTTCATGATATCTATTTCTGTAGTGAGTTCAGTATTTGTAACTTGGACCAAGTTACAAATACTGAACTCACTACAGAAATAGATATCATGAAACGATGAGCAAGATCTTCAGTTAAAAGACCTAAACATAAACGCATCATCACAAGAAGAAACTCCTGTTGCAATGTTAGAGATTTTAATGTTATTATTTTTAAATCCCTTGGCGAAGATAAGTTTTTATTTGTATTTTTACTACCTTTCCAATAGTGCATTACATTTCCTTTCCTTTGTAAGTAAGAAAACAACATTTCAAAGGCATTTGAATTTGCAAGGCCTGTAAAAAACTGAACATCAGAATCTCTGGTTAAATCGGCAAAAATTATTGATCGTCGTATTGGTTCATTACACTGAATAGATTTATCACAGTGTTTATTTTCTAAAGTTAAACTTGTTGATGAACTGTTTGCTTCTGATTCTAATATGACATCAAATCGTTCGAGTTTTCTTCGTTTTGTAGAAGATTCTTTTTCTGCATTACGAATATTCATGTATAAAGTTGGATTAGGAAAAGCAAAAGTAGGCTTTCCAAACTCAAAATGATTAGAGCAAACCACTTTATTATCAGAAACTGTAAAATTTATTAAACTTTTTTTAACTTGATTTATCCAATGCTGTCTTTTTAAAGAATCTTTAGGAAAGTAGTGAAATTTTAGCTCTGTTACTTGAGTTCTTTTAAATAACCTATCTGGATACCTGGAGTCGTTATTACAACCAGCAACACAGCAGCGGTAGTTTGGCATTTTAAATTTATATTTTATTTATCTATATTAATAAAAAATTCAAAGTATAAAACACCAAATTTAAAATTTGAGTACTAGCAAATAAAAAATAAGTAAAAAATCTTTAGCTTTCCTTCACTAAATCAAACTAACTTTGTTGTTTGTTTGCCCTGATTGCCCAAGATGCATTTCGCAACCGCGAAAAGGTCTATACGTGTTTTGTTAAATGTTTTCTCCCAACGCATGAACTATGACGCTGTCGCATTTTTTTTTTTTTATTATTAAAAATAAAATAAGTTTTAATAAGTTTTTGCTGATGTGGTTGCAGGTTTTTCTTAACTTCTATCAAATAAACTTAAGAAACCTGTATTACTTTTGATGATGACAAATTAGTTTTATTTTGCATTTGTTTGGTTTCTTTATATATATTTGTTTTGAGAAATTTTTTTTTTAATTTTTCGAATATGAATTTTTTAGTTATTAAGTTTTTTTATTTTATTGTTAACTTTAGATTTAAAAAAAAAAAAGAAATAATTAGTGTTGCTTTGATAAATATGTTTAATGAAAATGATGACATTAAAATGGATGATAGGCTAGATGTAGTTTTGTATTTACAAGATGATGTAAGTGCTATAAGGCGTGTTGAAAATAATCGTAGACAAAATGAAAGAAATAGACTTAGGCGAGATGAAATTAATTGTTTACAAAATGAAAGAAATAGGCTCGATCAAGATAATTTTAATCGTCGCCAAAACGAAAGAAATAGGCTCGATCAAAATAATGTTAATCACCGCCAAAAGGAAAGAAATAGGCTCTATCGAGATAATGTTAATCGTCGCCAAAATGAATGAAATAGGCTCGATCGAGATAATGTTAATGTTTGTTTGTTAAAATTTAGTTAGAGTTTATTTAAAATCTAAATTCTCTAGTTAATCAAGAGAGATCAAATAAAGGTATTAATTACATTATTTGAATGTAGCATTTAATATGTATTTTATCGATATTTTACCGTCTAAACTTTAAAGTGCTTTTATTGTTTAGATACAGAAGTGAATAAGGAATTAAGTCAGAGTTTTTGCTATTAGATATTTGTTAATAGGAATTTGTTTATATGTACTGCCACAGGAATTTTGAAAAATCAAGTTCTTTAGCTTTTTTTTTAAACTTTCTTTAGGGGAGTTGAAACAAAAACTAATAATAAAATATGATTAGCTTAGTTTAATAAATAAAGCAATAATATTTAGTAGATTTAAAGTTTACTTTAGTTTATAGTTTTGATTTAGTTTATAGTTTTGTTTTTAGCTTTAGTTATTTTTTTCTTACTTTAGACAACTTTATGGATAAAATGAGGGGGATGGGTAAAACATATATTTAGATATGTATATATTTATATGTTAACATTATTTTATCGATTATTATATATATATTTAAGTATATATTTGTCTTTAGTGTCTGGTGGAAGTATAGCTGGTAGGACTGTGTTTAATATTTTATATATTTTGTATAGAGAAATATGTGCAATAGGTGAAAAAATTAATTAATAAATATGACACTTTTGAACTGGTTGCGTTATTGCCCTATATATTTATTAAAATACAAAATGTTGCATGTTTAACCCTTTTTTATTTGCTCTCTTTTTTTTTTTTTAGCATCTTCTGTTTCGAATGAAAATGGTAAAGTTTTGCTAATTTTTTTTTTTTAATAATTGCAAATGTATATTTTTTTATTATATTCTTCTATTTGTAACTTTAAATTCCTTATAATTCGAAGAGTACAAAAATTACCGCTTCAAACACCCGGGACCTCTCTCAGAGAGGTCCTTTAATAAATAGAAACTTAATGGCGGAATGGATGAACCCTCTTTTTAATGGAGGGCTCATCCATACCGGGGTGTTGGGAGACACCGAAAAAAAAACAGCAACCAAAGGGTTGTAAATGTCTTCTATAAGTAGAGATATTTATGACTTTTTAGTTGCTGCTTTTTCTTCATTTTTTTTTTTTTTTTTTTAATTATGTAATTTTTTGTTTCAGTGTTTTTTTTTTATTTTTGTATTTTTTTTTTCAAATATATATTAAGCTGTATATTTGATTTGTTTTGATCTTTTTTAATGAAAATTTTAATTGTTTTCTCACCAAATAAACCTGACTTCAAATTTAAAGCCCTCTTAAATACCCCCCTCCCCTCCCTTAAATCTCAAGTCAAAAGTTGAATTGATTCATTATCCAATTATTATAATATAATGATGCTGCATTCTTTTGTTTAAAATAATTATTTGGTATATTTCAATTATTGAACTCACTGCTTTCAAAATTTACCAAGACCCTAGGCAATATATTTAGCTATATAAATACAATTTATTTATCTCGATTCCATTCTTTATCTTTTATGTTTATAGTTTGGCTCCTTGAAGCACTTTATGTTTTGTTTTTTTTATTATGAATATTTTAAATCCGTTGTGATGTCTTTTAAATTAAACTCAAGTTTACTAAAAGCCAACATAAAAATTCCGTTTTTGAACAACGCCAAAAAGAACAACTGCATCCTTACAGCAACTGCTGCAGTATCACAATAGGTTACCAAAAGCAGGTATACTGTTTTCCAGTTGTTGTTGTTTTTTTTCTTATATATCTACTTATTTATAAAATACTTTTTAAATTGTTCATATCTTATTCATTTTTTTTTCTTTATCTTTAAGTGATAATAATATAATTCTTTGAATGATATTAGTTAAACAAGTCGGCTTTTTATTAAAGATATTGGTTTTAAAATTGAACACCATTGGCAAAATGCATACAAAATTAGTTTTTAAAAATCTGTTTTCTATTTAATACAATTTTTTTATTATACTTTTTAAATATACTTTTCTATAACAATCCTACTAATATGGAATCACGTAGCTTTTTAAATATGTTTAATTGTCGTCTCTATCGGTAATAAATATTTTAAATTATTTGATATGGTTTTCTTAACAATAGGTTACGCTTGGCTCCTCGGTGCTGTAAATGGTGGCTTCAACTTTGTTTTTTTAAGAAAAATGTGTTTTATATATGCTTCTGTTTTAAAATATTTTTGTTACATATTTAACTATATATCATGTAAATAAATTTTTTTTAAAGATATGTAAACTTGATACTTGCTTTTTTACGGAATTTCAAAAAGTGAACAAAGCTTTAAATATATTTTTTAACTGTCTTATATGATTTTATCAATTTTATTAAAGCTGAATAATTACTTCAATAAAATTGAGTAAAATCCAATTGCTTTTATTATTAACCTGATCTATACAAAAATTAATGAAATAAAACTAATAATATAAGGCCAAGTTAAAGCAAAATGTATTATATAAAATTAGTATAAATATGGATTGGATATATGCTGAAATAAATATGTTAATACACGTTAGCTATTATAGTAAATCCATATATTCCTTTGTGTTTTTATAAACATGTTTCTGCTGGATTACTAATTAAAAAAAAGGTTGGTTTAATAATAATCTTTATCATAATAATATAGGATCCGTATGCAGGGCTAAGCCCTTTTCGGAATTGCGATATATTTTTCAACTTATAGTTTTTCCGGATATCCAACTTCTATGCCAACAAGATTAGGTGTAATATTTTAGATTTTTTAAAAATATTTAGAAAATATAATAATAACAATTAAAAGGTTTAGGTGCGATAGTGACATATTTTTAAGCTCTTCACTCAGTAAAATGAAAAGTTTACAAAAAAACAGAAACGACTCAGCTTAAAGCAAAATCAAGAGTAGAATATATTTATAATATTTACCTAAATAATTTTGCGGAATTTGAATATTTGACATCGATGTTCTGTGCATATAATTCAAGTCATTTTTAACTCCTACTTGGTTGTGATTTGCGCATTTAATGTCTGAACATTGCAAAAGAAATGGTTAACTTTGTCTTTAACGAAGCTAAAAGTTCTCTTAAACTAAGAAGCCAAGAAAAATAAAAGTGAGCTCAACTAAAAAAATGTATAAATAAAATTATATTTCAATAGAGAAAGTAAATAAAGATCAAATTGTTAGTAATGATTTATTTACTACTAACCCGTATTACGGATTGCTTTCTGTATAAATAAATTCATATTTTATTAAAGAAAGTAAATAAATAATAAATTGTTAGTAATGATTTATTTACTACTAACCCGTATTACGGGTTGCTTACAGCTAGTCTAAATATTAATACCGCAGTAAATATTACTGCGTTTAGTTATGCCTATTGTTCGTTTTGTTAATTACGGTTCTGTATTATGTAAAATACACTATTTAAGTAGTTTCTAGACTTTTTTAAGCGCTGTTATATTCCCACGCGGTCTTTCGAGTAAAGTCAACAAGCAAATTAGAGCTAATATTTTTATTTTTAAGAAGAATTGACGTGGTTCATTGTTTAAAATAAAAATTTTATTAACCGTTTGTTTTTTGTTGGTTGTTTTTATTTTCCTAATTTTTATAGCCCGTTTTTATTTTTTAAAAGAAGTTATAACTAAAATGACTGGTGAAATAGTTTTTTTAGTACAATGTGTTTTTTTATTATTAAAAAAAAATCATTGTACTATCAATATTATAAACATTGTACTATTTATTCATTGTACTAATTAAACATTTTAAGCAAGTATTGTTTAAACTTTTTTGAGCAGTCAAGAGGAGCTGATGGCTTTTTTAGTAAGTTCAATTAATTTTCTTATTTAAAGGTTAAGATTTTTTTTTGTAGAAAGAATAATGAGAATAAAATTTTATGTATGTAATTTGAAAAGTTAAATGAAATAAGACCGTTATTTGTGGTCATGTAAGTTTATATACATAAACTTGCGTTTATTTCAGTCTATTTTATATTTCTCTATATCAATGTTTATATTTTCTTTTAAGAAAAATAATTACTAAAGAAAAATTAAAAATTTGAATATGTATTTATTAAATATTTTTAATTTTGTTTGTAAACGGTTTCATCTATATCATTACTCTATATAAATATATACTGACTGACATAACTTCACTTATATTAAGAATATTGTGCATTGTAGTCTGCATTTTTTGTTACATTAAAAATAATTTATGCTAATAAATGTTGTTTTATAGTTGTTAAAAGTTTGCATATATATTTATATTATGCTCAAAGTTAAAAGGTTTTTGATAAATACGTGTAGTTGATGATATATGTTATATAGTTGTTTTATAAATGTGTTTTTATAATAGTATGAAATACATTTTATCTGATGTGTGCATGATTGTTAAATGAGTTGTTTTTATAAGTTTATATGATGTAACAAAAACAATATAGTTTTTAAATGCAAGTTTTTAATTATGCATTAAAAAACTATGTTGTGTTTTATAGTTTGTATATATGTTTATATAATGTTGTTTCCATGATTTCAAAGTGGTGTGAGATGGCAAACATGTAGAGCAAGATTTGTTAACCTTACCAGTCAAGCGGTGTTACTGCTTTAGGTCTAAGTGTTGTCTAGCCTTCAATACAACTATTCTGAAAAAACATAACATTATTTTTGATAGTTTTTTGCGTTATGTTGTTACCTTTGGCTTATCTTTATGTTGGTGTCTGTTGTTCAAAATGAATAAAAGGTAGTTTCATTTCCAGAACTCACTGCTTTTGTTTCTTTATATAAATAGCACAGTGAATGTTATTATTATTAGTGCACATAGTTGTGCTTATTTTTCGGTATTAATTACGGTTCTGTATTCTGTAAAAAACACTATTTCTTAGTTTTTCAGTAGTTTCTAGACTATTCTTAACCGAGTGCTTTCTTGAAGTTGCAACCTTTTAGCGTACGAGTTCAAAATGTTTAAGTAGCCATTAAGTAGATAATGTTTAGTAGCTTAAAATTATTGGTAATATAAAAACTTTTAAAAATTTATAAGTAATTAATTTATTTTTATCTTTTTTTAAATTGTACTTTCAAATTTAAAGCTTTATGTTAAGGACGTTAATAATAATGTTACTATAATTTTTACTTAGAATTATAGTAATCTATATTTTCAATTATAGTAATCTATATTTTCAATAGGAGTTTTAGATAGTGTCTACTGTTAAAAGATATTTATGAGTAGTTCATGCTTTCACATGCTTTTAATAATTGGGATAAAAGCCATGACAACATCTTTACATATAAATATATATAAATCTTTTTAAATTTTTTGTTTGCCTAATTCAAGTTTTATTTATTTATAGTTTGCTTATATGTTTAAATTATGCTCAAAGTTAAAAAGTTTTTGATAAATACGTATATGTGGTGTAATATGTTATATAGTTGTTTTATAAATGTGTTTATATAAATGTGTTTTTATAATAGTATGAAATGTATTTTATCTAATGTGTACATAAATGTTAAATGAGGTGTTTTTTATGTTATATAACATTAAAAAAATATATTGTGTTTTATAGTTAGTATATATGTTAGTACAATGTTGATTAGGTGGTATAAATGGTATAAGTATAAGTGGTGTGACTTGGCAACGTGTAGAGCTGGTAGACTGGTAAGATTTACTTAAAATCTTACCAGTCAAGCGGTGTTACTGTTTCAGGTCTAAGTGTTGTCTAACCTTCAATATAACTATTATGAAAATACATAACATTATTTTTAATGGTTTTTTGCGTAACACTGTTATCTTTGGCTATTCTTTGTTGTTGTCTGTTGTTAAAAATAATTAATACGTAGTTTCATTGCAAGACCTCGCTGCTTTTATTTATTTACTAAAAGTCATTTAAGACATCATTTCGCCATAAATACATTTTGTTTATCATGTAATTTGGTATCACAACTTTAATATCGCAACAGCTTATCTCTATCAGGTACATTTGTTTTTAATTCATATATGATGTTTTTCTTTGTATTTACTTATTCGTTACACTTTTTAACTTTAGATTTATCATATGATGTATTTATGTGGTACAGAAGAACAAATCATTGTAAATTTTTATGAATTTTTCAAAAATATTTGATAATAGTTATTCAACATTTAAAGTTCAATCTTGCATATACCATTTTTAACTAGTTTCTAGACTTTTCTAAATGCTTTTCTTATTTAAGTGGTTTTACAAGCAAGGTCTGCAAGCAAACTTAAGCTGAAAAGTTTTTCAGCTTTCAAGGAGAACTAATGTTGTTCTCTGTTTAATTTAGTTTGTTTAAATAGAGTAGTTTTAAAAAATGTTGTTTGTTCTTGGTTTTTTACATTTGTTATTGGTATTTATTATTTTTGTGCATTGAGATTGTGCCGGTAAAAATAACTTTATGCATTGTAGCCTAAATTCTTTGTTAAATTAAAAATAAATTAAATAAATTTTGTTTTATACTTTTAATAAACAACTCTTTATAAAAACTTATAAAATTGTATGTATATCAATAAATCTTTATTTAAAATATAGTCTTTGATTAGAAAAGATCACAATTTGTAAAATTATTTTTCCTTCATTTAGTTGTAACAGTAGTATAATCACTGGTAATATGTTTAATGATAACAGATGTATAATATTATGCTCAAAGAAGTTATTAGTGTAAATGGTAATAGGCGACTTTAAAAAATTTGTTGTCAAATAAAAAAGATAGATCTAGGCATGATAATATTTTTTTGTAATCTCAAACATAATTTTGTTCTTTTTTTTTTTTAGTTGCCTTTGTCATCACTTGATTATTTTGTCTACTGTTGAAACATGGTTTTAATTTTGTAAATTTAATATGTGAAGTTTACTATATTGATCATTAGTCAATAGTTTGAGAGAAGCTGGAACTCAATTAAGAAAGTTAGAAGTTTTTAGTTAAGGTAGAAGTAATTTTGTTTATTGGTAGCATAATAAAACCAGTTACTTTTATTTATTGCATGACTTTTTTACTTTTTTTAACATGCTGCTTTTGAAAAACTTCCTCTCTCTCTCTGAGATAAAAATTAGTACAGAGAGAATTGATAAAACTCGTGTAATTACTGAGCTCTTGCGCATTTTTTAATACTACAATTGATAATGACAATTTACAAGATATATTTTACGAGTTGCTTGCTATTTAAAGATATCATTCTTTAATCATGTTTAACTCTAATTTTGCCTTGGTTGTTCAATTATGGAAATAAATTTTTTGTATGTATAACTTTATTATTTATTATTATTATTTTTTCATAGTTTTTAATAAATATATCTGTCATTTAATATTATTATAAAACCTTCGTCAAAAACTTGATTACTCTTAATAAAAAAAACTCTATTCACCTGGCCACCATTAAAGCAAAAAGAGGGGAGGAACCTCTTTATTAGTGTCAAAATATTTAGGAAAATTAAGTTTCAAGTAACAAAAGGAATTTTTAGTAAATGGTAGCAAATTACCGTTTACTTGAGGTTAATAAAATAAAGAAGCTGAACAATTTATATAGAAATGGTCTGTGTTGAGCAGACTTATCCAGACCTGGGTCCGGTCAGTTTGGTTTAAATTTTTATGTCTACTTATCTGTTACAATTTTTATTTCAGGTTTGTCATATGACGCATTAATGCAACATAAACGATCAAAGTTTACATATTTAAATTAGTTATACATTCATGTGATTGTAATTAAAATTTTTTTTTGTTTGAAACGTATTTGTACTCAGTTGCTTAGTAATTTATTATAAACTTAGTTATTTTAATAAATTAATTTAGTTGTGTGCATTTAGCGTATTTAAGTTAACAATTTTTTTTTCTAAAGAAAAAATTAACCAAGGGGATACCAAAATATTGATAACTCCTGTAAATATAAGTTAATTTCATCTTAATCTTAATAATTAACTAAAGTTCATGTTATAAAAATTACTATAAGGATTAAGTTGATACTTTATATTTTTGATTATTTTGTGTAACTAAAAATGTAGTGTTCAACTTAAAAAATATCGAGGAAAATGGTTCTGCCATACACTGTAATGACCTATGTCAGTTGTAAATTACTCAATTAATGT